CTGACGGTGCCGCTCTGCCCAGTGACACTGCGCACCCCCCAGCTCTGTCGCCGCTGGAGAAACGCAGGGGGGAGGAAGAGAGGGAGCCCGACTGAAGCGGGGTGGCCCCTACTCTCCCCTACTGCCCCGCAGATCTAGACAAACAACAAATCCACCTCCTGTGTGAGCTCCTAAGGTCCTTGGGCCAGCGCCTCTCGAGAAGCCGCACTCTAAGACAACGCGCATGTGTGTGGGCAGCCCCCCGAGGTGGCAGGGCCAGCTGACCGGCCGGGGTGCAGGGTGCTGCGGGGTCCCCCGTCCCTCACCTTTGTCGCACAGCAGGCCGCCCCAGTTGGTGTCGCACACACACATCCACGGCTCGGTGCAGCTGCCGTGGACACAGCCCGGGAACGTCACGCACCGGTCGCACAGCGGGCCCTCCCAGCCGTAGTGACACCTGGGCTCGGGGAGAGAGAGGGAGAGAGAGAGAGAGCGGGAGTGAGCCAGCGTCGTCATTCCGGTTCACACCCCGCCGGCCTGCACCAGCGCGCACACACACCAGAGCGCACTCCAGCGCGCTCACCCGTCGTGAGCCGCCTCCCACTCAACACGGAAACACCCACACGGCCGGCACGTTTCAGCCCCCTCCCCGGGCCCGTGGAGGGGGTACAGGGGACTCGCGCCTCTGCGCTGGGGGTCATTGAAATTGCGAGGGAAGTGTCGCCTGAGGAAAGTGTGTGCAGGACTCTGCGAGCAGGCCAGAGGAAATGGGCTAATACCCCCATTTCCCTGTAGAGGCTAGTGGGGGGGGGGGGTTCTCTGCTCTTTATTAAATAAAATCACAGCTGTTCCCAGAACCCTGTTAGAAATTTAATACAACAAAAAGGCTTTTAGCGTAAGCCCCAGTTAGACTGTTTTGGTGGAGGCTTGTCTGCTGGAAAGGGGCTTGTGCTCATAGCCAGCTTTTATTTAGACCAGTCCACTCCAGCTTTCCCAAGAGGGATGTTTTGTGACACTGTGCAATAGTTATGAGTTAACTTACAGGCCTTCACTCTGTGTCCCCTGCACTAAGGAAATGGCCAGATGACCTGTTCTTTGAAGAACTACAGAGAGCTGATGGCCTGTTTATCTTGGGAGGCCAATACCAGCTGGCTAGACACTGGATCCCATTCATCAAACACAGGCCAGCAGACCTCACAGCTATTTTAACTCTCAAAGCAGGAAACTGTCACAGATGTCCTGCAGCACGCCGCTTAAAGAGTCCCTGCAGGTCAGGGGTCAGTTACCTTGGTCCTGCAGGTTTTACAAGGACAATTAAAGAGTCAGTGATCACATACATGTTAATGTGTGCTAATTAAATTGTAATTGGCCGAATGAAGTCATTTTAAAGCTCAGGTGGAATGAACCTCCAGAGTTCTAGACGCCTGTAAGTGGGCATGCAGGGTGCAGAGTGATGCTCTCACTGGGTGTGGGTATCTCCTGCTGCAGAGGAACTGGCAGTAGGGCCCTGTTTGCCCTCTGGAGAGCCATGGCAGCACGGAGCCCAAGTCTTTGGGAGGGGAGCAACTATTCCCCCGGTTCTCCCTCTCTTTCTCTTCTCCCACACGCCAGCCCTCTCTCGCTCCCTCTCTTTCCCTCACTGTGTCCCTCACTGTGTCCCTCCCTCTCTCCCAATCCCTCACTCCGTCCCTCCCTCTCTCCCAATCCCTCGCTCCGTCCCTCCCTCTCTCCCAATCCCTCGCTCTCCTCTGGCTACGTGGCCCTGGGCCAACCCCACTCCGTCTCCCAGCCGCAGAGAGACCCTTGACAAGGGGGAGGGCACAGGAAGCCACCAGCAGCAGAGAGGCCTCTGGCGGGAGCTGTGGAATCCCCCTTCCACAAAAACATTCCCGAGTCATTCCGAGGGTAATTATCCCGATGATTTATTTCTCCAGCGTGCCTTCTCGTCGCCCCGCGGCTCCCCCCGGCCTGACCGTTGCAGGGAGTGAATGGAGACACGGGCTGCTCAGGAAGAGTGTCTGGGCGCGGGGGCGGGGGGGTCGGGCTGCGCCGCTGCCTGGTGGCCCAGCCTGCTCTCCCTCGCCCCTTCTCCTTCGCTACTCCTGTGTCTCCAAACCATCAAACCCCAGCGCAGCAGAAGGCAGGGGTCCCTGAACTCCTCGCCCTGACCTCCTCTCCACCTCGTTTCATGACCCCCCCACCTTCCCCGCTGCACAGCTCTGCTCTGCCTCAAACCCGCGCTGCTCTCCTGGGGGCAGTAGTGGCTGCTGCTCATTGATTCTAATGCCATTACTTTGTATGTTGCAATCAATCAATCAATCAATCAATCAATCAGGCTGATAAAGCACTCACTTGCACTCCCCAGGGGTGCTGCAGTACCCGTGAGCCAGGTGACAGCCTTGCCTGCAGACAGCTGGAACAGAAAGAGAGAAACCGCAGAATTAGACTGTCTCTGACGACAACAAGCAAAACACTGAAAATTACGATCTGGGTTATATTTCCAAACAATGCAACACTAGACTTTGGAAGAAGTAATAATTGCCCCCCTAATACCTAGTAAATAACTTTGTTGCTGGTCTGTGCAGTAAGGAGGCTGCAGTGTTAAGGTCTGTGCTGTCGTGGTCAGTGCAGTGAGGGGGCTGCAGTGTTAAGGTCTGTGCTGTCGTGGTCAGTGCAGTGAGGGGGCTGAAGTGTTAAGGTCTGTGCTGTCGTGGTCAGTG